GCATAATTTTATATTACATGCTTATTGGTTATGGACTGCAACTATTATGCCCTTCACCTAAACAAACTTGGACTGGCCTCAAATTGGATGATTGTCATACGGTTTGATTCCCTGGCTAATTAAGGTTCCAGTTCATGTCTCCATTACAACAACAGGTTTATACTTCCTTTTCTTTATCCGATTTGGAGAACTGTTTGATAATTTCTTCGGTAATTTTACTTAAGAATTTGATAAGGAATTTGTAAAGCTATTTGGAGCTAGTCTGGGGCCTAATTTCAAGTTGGGCAACTGCCTAAATGAGACTTTTGTGCAAAGAGGCTTGGAAAATTTGGTCATGAAAATTTAGTTTTCATTGGTTCCTAAATATATTATTAGTATAGGTAGAGTAATAATTATATAGGGCAAGAGAGGGAATTGGGCAACTATACTAGGTTCTGGATGTGACTGCCTGTCTTCTTTCAAAAATATTGGGTGAACTACTAAGTGAGCGGGAGATCAGAGCAAGTATAAAGAGAAAATCACCCTTTTGTCAACTGATTTATTTTGCGTAAAATGCATGCTCTATACTTAGACAATGTGAGCATAAAACCCCCTACAAAAGCATTTGGGTAAATTAATATAAAGTGTCCGGTATTATGAAAATAAAAAACAAAGGACTCTAAAATTCAACTTTTTATTTTAGCTTAAGATACATAAGGCAATAGAAAAGTCCTGATAGAAGAAATGTCATAAATTGTGCAGGAACTATCTCTGTTCCTTGAATATAATAGAAGAGCAAGGCTAGGATGAACAATTGTTTAAGCGGAAAAAGGATGACTAGTCAGATTTGAGCTGAAACCACTTATACTAGTATTGAGAATAGCATATGCACAACCCCAATGCAATCACATACCAAGTCGAATTAGATGTACTTTAGAGCAGGAAATAAATGTTTGGCCACATCCACTTTAAGTTAATTCAGGTGCAATCAGATACCTACTGAGCACATTTCTAAACGATTAGTAGATCTTGCATACGAACTCGAAGCACCTTAGGTCACTTACGATTAATGAGGTGAATATAAGGCTTCTATTTCATTGAATTTCACTTAGTCTTGTCTTTCAAAAGGTTTTCTTACTCGCTAGACGACAATTTCCATTTCGTTTAAGTCTTAACAACGTTCCCAACGGGATTCGTGACCGAGCTTTGCTCTTCACATACAAGGTTACCACTCAGCGATGCAGTTGGATCTGACGTTAAAGGCAAGCCATGTCTCTCACAATTCACATATCCAGCGGGGCTAGTGCTGACTAGGAGATATACCTATAATTGCATTACATTTGATTACATTACTATATACCAAATAAGTAATTTCTGTAACCACTTTGCGCTCCTGAATAGGCACATAGGCCAGTCACAACCCGCAGTCCAGCCTGGAAGCGAAAGTATTTTTTGAGACAAGGCTAAGTTAGTCATGATCTTTTGTTAATTGTTCAAATGCATACAGATAGAGCATAAAAATATATATATACTTTAACTTCCAGTCTTCTGCTGATTCTTCTACATCCCGCCCCTTTAATTATCTTGCCTACGGATAATACAGCCTCTTTGTTTATTCTCCACATCCAGCCGAATCTCATCGTCAGACTCTTCCTTGGCAAGCCCTTACTCGACAGACACCTATTTAGAACCGCAAGTCTTATCGCCACATCGTACAACTTTGGAGGCTGACGATATGGTTCCGCTGCCGAGCCCATCACTGACAGAAACGCGCAAACGGTTTCCGGCCCTCGCAGCTTCAGGCCTCATCGAGGGTGCCCAAATTGTCATTCAATTCAACCTGGGGCCAAAGCATCGTAGGATAGTGTGCGCCAATGTAAGTGGAACGAGTAGCCCAGTCATTCACACGAAGAGGTGACTGTTTTTGTCAATCATGAATGGGCACAGGATGGTTATAGAAAGTGAAACATTTCGAGTTGTCTTTAAGAATAGGTATGTAAGTATTATAAATTGTTGCTTCAACCATATACAAAATTATGGTCTCGAAAGCTTAACAAATCTTTAACCCGGGTTTCTTAAGTTGATTTAAGGACTGATAATTGAATTTTGCTTGCAATTTTGCCTCACAAACTACCCAAAGATACATTCTGAATTGAGGTAGACCTGACTTGCCTTGTAAATAGCCGGTACCTGTTACTGAGGCATAGTAGCAACTTTTCGCCGTGCTACGTACACAGCCCATGTTTCGAATCCCACTGGAGGTACTAAAAGGCATAGGTGACGGAAAAGCTTTTTGGGAGGTAAGGCCAAGGGAAATTTGATCACGTTGTAAAGCCCGCTCATTTTGTTATAAGAAATCCAACTACCACCCCTTTCGTCACCTTCGGCACACTTTCTCTTACCAAGTTTTCAAAATTTACTCTTACATACTAGCCTTTTTTCTATTCCATAGATCACCCATTTCATTCCCCATTCATTATGCTGATTTCATCTCCTTAGTCATATATTTTTAAGAGTATAGCTATTAATGGATGAAATGTATTAATCGCATTCAGTTTAAGATGATAAGTGGACCAGCACTCTCGAAAACCTGCTTATAGAACGATAAATCAATCGTCTCTGTTTATCCCCTTTTGCTACTCCTTTATTTCATTTATTATAATCCCAGTTTTTGCTTGGTTCTCTACTCTTATAATTATTCTTCAATTTTTATTGTGATAATTTTTTTCACCTTAAACTATTTGGTTTAGTATTCTCTATATATACATTGGATCAGTGTTAGTTCATAATACTTTTTCACTTTGCTTGTTTCCTCTCACTCACCTTAGTATCAATTTTGCACACTTCCCACCTTCACTAGAGTTTGCATTTCCCATTATCGAAGTGATAAGATGCCGTCTCAAGTTGTAAAATAGGAGGCAGGATGTGCCAATCAGATTGCTAATATGATCTATCGGGGTATCACTTATTTATCTGCCCAATGGGACAACACTAATAATCACTATTGAGAACATTGTGATATTTAGTTTCATGAAAACCAGAAGTCAAATTCAAGCTAAGCAAGCAATGCAATTTAGTGAGGTTTATACTCATCGGCCGCCCATTCATGTGACTTTTACG